CTTAAGGGGAAAGGTGTCAGTCTTTCACCATTGAGTATGATATTAGGTGCTTGGATTTTTCATACTTAGTTTTTATTATGTTGAAGAAGTTTCCTTTCTCCCTGGTTTGTTAAGGTGGGTGTGGTATTTTTAAATCATGAAAGAGTATTAAATTGTCAAATGCTTTTTCTGCATCAGTTGAAATGATCATGTATTTTCCCTTCATTCTCTTAATGTGGTATATTGTATCCATTGATTTTCATGTTGAACCATCCTTGCATTCCAGTAATCAGTGCTACTTGGTCATGGCATATAATCTTTTTAATATGCTACTGAATTTAGCATGCTGCTGAATTTGGTTTACCACTTCTTTTCTTACAGAGAATGTTTCTTTATGGAAAGAAGTTGGTTTAATAATTATTAGTTCCTCTTTATTTTGGGAACGGAGCTGAACATACACATATAGATATATACACATACACATTTATAGAAAATATGCATATGTATATTACAATTAAGTAAATACATATATAATTATATTTATAATTTTTGAACTTTCATTCCTTCACTGGTCTTCTCCATTAGATTGCAAAACTTCATGAAGGTAGGAAGAAACACTTGCTTTTGTTTATACTGATGCATTCCCAGTTTTTTATTTGGTACTCAGTGCTCTTGATAAATGTGTATGGAATGAATAAATTAATATTTTTTAATTCTGTCAGTAATCCTTTATGATATTTTTACCATCTTTATTTAACCAGTTAAAACAGTTTAATAGTGGTGAATCAGTAGTTCTGAGGCAGATGGAATTATCTTAATTAGTTAATGTATATATATTAAAAAAAATTTTTTTTAATGTTTTTATTTATTTCTGAGAGAGAGAGACAGCGTGAGCAGGGGAGGGTCAGAGAGAGAGGAGACACAGAATCCAAAGCAGGCTCCAGGTTCTGAGCTAGCTGTCAGCACAGAGCCCAACACGGGGCTCGAACTCACGAACTGTGAGATCATGACCTGAGCTGAAGTTGGACGCTTAACCAACTGAGCCACCCAGGCACCCCAGTTAATGTATATTTTTAAGAATTTACCATGCACCAGGCACCCTGGAACAGGCATTGGAGCCATAATAGACTGTCCCTGACTTAAGTTAGCTTACAGTCTGGTTGAGAGAAGTAGACAAGTAAGTAGAGAATGCTGTAGCAAAATCAAGAATTGATATAGATATCAGATCTGTATGTTTTATAGATATAATGTATTTTAGAAATGTGTTCGCTATTTTCCATGTGGCATACATTGAATGCATATGCTTCTGGGTGATAGTTAGAAAGTAAATTGTGCTTATAAATTGTTCTTGAAATCTTTTATGTTTTCAGCCTCATTGTCATTTGTCTATAGAGTTACACTTTTCTTTTTGTACATAGCTTTTCCAAAATACTTTCTTTAAAGGATTCACTCAGTGTACTTAAAAATTCAGATGCTTTTTGGGAATTCTGAATATCAAATCCAAATTTCATGGGAATATGTTACTTTAGAAAGACAATCATGTAAGGGTAAAATTAGTATTTATTTAATATTTAAAACAGGTTATTTTTGCCATCGTAAATACAGGAGCCAGGAAGGTAGATTATAAACTCTTAGAGTCTGCATGTATATTCTGTTTGTATTCTTCATTTAGAATTTTCAGTATTTCATGAAGTTTTATATAAATAGCATTTTTCCAAATTAAGTAAATGTATTATTTTTCATTGATAACTGTTAAACATGCTTTGTCTTATTATATTACATAATATGGTATTATTTCCTACTTGTTTGATAGCAAATACCAATGTTCTGTCTCCCAGTACCAGAAGATTTTTAGATTTTTCTCACTTGCTAAAATAAGACAAGTAAGGATTATAAACATTATACGCTGTTTTGTCTTATGTTTTGCCAAAATGATTCTATCACTTCTCCCTCACCCCACTCCATTCTTATCAGTTATTTCTTTTCCGGAATGTTTCAAGTCTCAGTAGAAATTGTAATGGTTCTGACTTTTCAAGAGAAAGTAGTTGTCCTCTCCAGTTAGCATAACTTGTCAGCTCTTTTAGCTGTTTTTTTGCTGATACTTTATTTTCCCAGGTGGGTATTCTTTTTTCCCCCAACCCAAATATCTTTAAAAACATAGCACTGTCAGTCTCTTCCATATTACTGCCAAGTAATTATTCCTGTTTCTTAATGTATGCCAGATATACCACTTTGTAGTCTTTGAAAAAATTCAACTCTGTCTCTTCATCTTTAAAGGGTGGTTGTTTTTATACGGTTTATGAGGTTCTTAATGCAATGACTTCTATAACTATTTCAGAAGAGTGCGGATCAGAGTGGAATGAACTTTTAGCTCTTAGTGTTGGGTAGGGAGCCCTAAAACGGCCATCAACTAATGGTAGGCAAAGATCATCCTTCTTTTTTTCATGGAGCCCATAGTCTCCTATTTAATAGGTGTATAGCTGTGTATACAGTGAGTGTGAGAGAAAAATTGTGTGAATGTGTGCTTGCACTTAAACTTATTTGTGTTTGTTTACTAACTCCCAAATTAAGCAGTGTTATAATGATTTTGGCAACTCAAAATTTTCAGCACATCTGAGAAGACAAAATTAGATAAAACTCTTTCAGTTGCAGCTATCTCTGTTCAACTAATTGAGAGAAAAATGTGTGTAGAAGTGCATAGAGTGTTGAGATGAGGGATTGCAAAGGTCTGTGTAGTCAAGAAGAGGTAGAGGGAGAATGGGCCTTGCAGGCTATTTTCTTACATAGGTGTTAAAAGAGATCTTGTAGTCCACCTTTATTTTTTTTTTTGCATACTAGTGTCATCCTGTCTGTTGTAGATGGGTGTTTCCCTGTGAATCAAGAGATAGGATCATCTGTAATTTTTGGTTTACCGCTTTGTAGCCTTGTATATAGACAGAGCTATAACTTGCTAGTTTCAATTTATAAAGGAAATCCCATGGGAGAACTCTTGTTTGCCTTGGCCTAGGATATATGTCTTCCCCAGTAACCAAAACGGAGTAATTTTGGAGTAGGAGAAGGTACAGTGTAAGCAAGGATAGCTTAACTTCGCAAACAGAAAATACCCAATTTTATCATTTAAAGGGGTCCCAGTTTTAAGTGTACTCAAAAGTAGATAAAAGACTTAAGGGTTATGATTTGTAATGGAAAAGACTTTTTTCCCCCATATTACTCATGTGTGCTTGTCACCTTTTGCTGACCCATGTTATAAGAGCCATATAGTATAGGTATATTTTAGTAGTCAGCTGCATTAAGTTTTGGTTTGGATAGTTCTCAGTATGCACATAGTGCTGTGTTCTAGTGATTTTGAACTTCCATCTACCCTTTAAAAAAAAGGGCGGGGGGGCTTTGATTTGAATCCAAACCAGTCTTGTAGTCAGATGTAGACAGAAAGATGTCTGCATGTGTGTGTGCTCAGTGTCCTCCTTCCTGCCTCATTTATTTTTTTCCTCTGTTTCTGTGTGTACTCAAACCACACTCCATGAATCAGCATTTTCATATAAGGATTTCTATAAGTAATATGGAAACATTTTGTTTTCATGTTCATTATATAATATCTAGTTTATTCTTTATGCAGGAACAGTGGTATGGAAAGCTAAAATCTCTTTAATTTAGTTGTTTATTTTAAAAAAGCTTTGGTATAGCCTGCCATTCCAAATGATTTTATTATATAAAGTCTTAAGTTTTTAACAGAATGTAATATGGTTAAAATTAACATATTTAGCAGCATTCCTTTAGAAATATTTCTGTGATTCTGAAACTGATTTCTATAAATATGTATTTACGTAACTTCCCTGCTATTTATCAAATTTCATTCAGTTAAGTACAACTAGAATAAGATCACCATAAATTACTGGTTGTTTTGAAATTTACATTTGTAGCTTTCAATTAAAAATGTTTTGGTGGCTTAGTTGGTTAAGTGTCCAACTATGGCTCAGGTCATGATCTCACAGCTCATGGGTTCGAGCCCTCTGTTGGGCTCTGTGTTGACAGCTCAGAGCCAGGAGCCTGCTTCTGGATTCTCTGTTTCCCTCTCTCTGCCTCTCCCCCTCTCAACTCTGTTTATCTGTCTCTCAAAAATAAATAAACACTAAAAAAACTTTTTTACTGTTATAATGAAGGGGTGGCTGGGTGGCTCATTTGGTTTAAGCATCCAACTCTTGATCTCAGCTCAGGTCTTGATCTCAGGGTTGTGAGTTCAGGCCCCATGTTGGGCTCCTGATTGAGTGTGAAGACTGCTTAAAAAAAAGAGAGAAGGAAAAAGTTATGATGAAAAATACGGTGTGCATATGATTGAAATTGTTACAGTAAAGACAACTTTTTAAGATCTTAAACATTTCAGAAGCATTTATTGCTGAGTATATAATTGATATATTTCAATACTTAGCATATTTTCTTCTTACATGCTTAGTGATAAGTTGAGATTTTTTATTTAGTTAAAATTTACAGCCACTCTTAAATGTAACAGATCTCATCTTTATAAATGTGATTGTTTTCCCTGAATATTTTAAAGGCATTTAATTTGAAATGTTTGTGGGGTTTTTTTAATGCACTCCAAAGTAACATTATTTATATATTTCTAATGTGAGATTTTGTATCATTTATTTATTTTGAGACTGTTCAATGAGAAGATTGACTTGATTTTAAAATGGATAATGACATTTCTGAGAAAATTGTCAACAATTAAGCAAATCATTGAATATTAGAAAAATATTACATGCGTACAGTAACTACTGTGTGGTAAATTAACAGTTTAAATTTATTTCTACTAAAGATTCCTGTTACTACTTCAAGACAAATATTTATAAAATATAAGTGAAGTTTTTGTTTTGTTTTAATGCTTAGGATCATAGCATGGTCAGTAGAAGGGCTGATTGAATGAGAGATAAAGAAATACGGAATTTCTTTGCAGTGATTAAATGAAAGTATTTATTATGTAAAGGAACTCTGGCATCATGTGTCAATTTTTATTTTTTTTAAAGGAGGGTGCGTCAGCCCGTAAGACTCAGACTCCTGCAGCACAGCCAGTACCAAGACCAGGTAAAAATATAAAACTTTGGCTTTGCTTTATATTTTTGTTGTTTGTTTGTTTTTTAATGGTCACAATGAAATTTTTTTGATATGTATAATGCTGTGAAGTAATTGAAATTTTACTTCAAGTATTTATAAAGTAAAATAATATTTATTTGAAAAAAAAATAGGTATAGTTGAGATAAAGAGAAGTTTTTAAAAAAATACTTTTAATTAGAAAAATATGTATTTTTTAAAGTTTGTTTTGAGAGAGATAGCATGAGTGAGGGAGGGACGGAGAGAGAATCCCAAGCAGGCTCTGCAAACCCATGTAAGGCTTGAACCCACGGACCAGAAGATCATGATCTGAGCTGAAATGAAGAGTCAATTGCTTAACCGACTGAGCCACCCAGGCATTCCTTTAAAGAGCTACATATATGTACCTATCCCCTCACCAGTTTCTTGTTGGAGTCCCCTGAGAGTACATGTGGATGTGATTTTTTTGGCCCTCCGTTAAAAGCACAGCACCATAATTTTAATAGACTCTTCTGCAGTTTTGATGCGTAGAATTTCAGATGTCCATGTTATTGAGCATACAAAGTTCTGTAATCAGGTTTTGTAAGGTAAGAGAAGGCATTGAAGTTATTTTAGAAATATTTTTCTTTCCTCTTCCTAGTTCCTAAAAAGATTGATCTTTATACATGCATGAAGATACCAACATTATATCCATTTTAAGTGTTTTGGGCTTGATTTTTGATATGTGTTTTATATCTTTATGTACAAATTTATATATTTTTATATTTAGCGTGATTACACTGTTAGGCTTGACCACGTGTCTTTTTTACTTCATCAGTATGATTGAAAATGGATGTGAAGAAAATTAAGTGATCTTCCTCTTAAATTTGGCAGTTATCAATAGTATAGATTCGGAGGGCTTTTTATTCATAGTACGTTTACAGGCTAACTCTAAAATTATATAGGTTATATATACTAAATATTTTTGGAAACACTTTAGAAGTATGGTATGAAGATTATATGTGGCTTATTTTGGAATAATTTTGTAGGTTATCTCACTGTGTCCTGGATCCATACACTTGAAACTGGATATGACTAGTATTTACATTTTTTTTTTTATGACAGTGAATTTGTTTGAAATCTTTCTCATTCCTGTTTTTGAAAAGGAGTAGAGAAGAAGAATGCTCTGTTAGCCACATGTTAAATTTGGAGCACATTGGATAAATTTATTTCAGATGACAGTGACTTTTTTTAAAAATTAAAAAAAATTTTTTTTTAATTTACTTCTGAGAGACAGCATGAACAGGGGAGGGTCAGAGAGAGAGGGAAACACAGAATCTAAAGCTGGCTCCAGGCTCTGAGCTAGCTGTCAGTACAGAGCCTGACACGGGGCTCGAACCCATGAACTGTGAGCTCATCTGGGTGGCTCAGTCGGTTAAGTGTCTGACTTTTGCTTAGGTCATGATCTCACGGGTCATGAGTTTGAGCCCTGCATCGGGCTCTGTGCTGACACTTCTGAGCCTGGACCCTGTTTCAGATTCTGTGTCTCACTCTTTCTCCGACCCTCAACCTGCTTGTGTGCACTCTCTCTCTCTCCTTTTCTCTCTCAAAAATAAATCAACATTAAAAAAATAATAAAATGACCTTACCAAAGCCATTGTAAGAGTGTAAGGAAACAGGGTGCCTGGGTGGCTCATTTGGTTAAGCATCTGACTTTGGCTCAGGTCATGATCACAAGGTTTGTGGGTTTGAGCTCCACGTCAGGCTCTGTGCTGACAGCTCAGAGCCTGGAGCCTGCTTTGGATTCTGTGTCTCCCTCTCTCTCTACCCCTCCCCTGCTTGCACTCTTTCTTTCTCTCTCTCAAAAATAAACAAATGTTAAAAAAATTTAAAGAGTGTAAGGAAGAGCGATTAAATTCAATAACTATTATAGTTGAATGCTTCCCAGGGGCATAGAGTATATGAGTGAGCAGGGGAAGGGCAGAGAGAGGGAGAGAGAGAATCCCAAACCGGCTTCGTGCTGTTAACACACAGAGCCTGATGTGGGGTTTGGACTCACAAACAGTGAGATCATGACCTGAGCTGAAATCAAGAGTCAGGTTTAACCAACTGAGCTACCCAGGCATCCCTGCCCAACACACACCGTTTTAAAAGCAAAAATTAGGGCGCCTGGTTGGTTCAGTCAGTTAAGCATTGGACTCTTGATTTTGGCTCAGATCATGATCACACAGTTGCTAGATTGAGCCCTGCATTGGGCTCCTCATTGGGAGAGTTCCCTGCTGGGAATGGAGCCTGCTTAAGATATTTCTCTCTCTCCCTCTCTCTCCCTCTCTCTCCCTCTCTCTCCCTCTCTCTCCCTCTCTCTCCCTCTCTCTCCCTCCCTCTCTCTCTCTCTCTCTCTCTCTCTCTCTCTCTCTCTCTCAATGGCTCAGTCAGTTGAGAGTCCAACTTTTGGTTTGGTATGGGGTCATTATCCCGGGGTTGTGGGATCGAGCACCATGTTGGACTCTGTGCTGAGGGTGGAGCCTGCTTGAGATTATCTGTCTCTCTCTCTCTCGCCTCCAAAGATTTTCTCCCTCTCCTTATGCTCCTCTCTTGTTCTCTCTCTCTCAAAAAATAAAATAAATAAAAATAAAAAAGCAAAAAAATTTTTATAAGTTTTTAACACTCATCAATAAAACCTGTTTTAAGTGGATGTTAAGCAGTTTGTGGTCTTTGTCTTGATTTTTTCGTTTGCTGAATTTTGCGTGAATTTTTCTTTTGCTGTAGAATGTTTATTGTATTTGCTTATGGGATGCTGCCCTTTTTTTTTTTTTAGATTTTTTAAAGTTTGTTTATTTTGAAGAGAGCAAGAGAGAGAGAGAGAGTGGGGGAGGAGCAGAGCAAGAGGGAGAGAGAATCCCAAGAAGGCTCTACACTGGTTATGACCTCTGAGATCATGACCTGAGCTGAAATGAAGAGCCTGAGGTGGGAACTGAACTCATGAATTGTGAGATAGTGACCTGAGCCAAAGTCAGACATTTAACGAGCCACCCAGATGGCCCTGTCATTTTCTTTAAAAAAAAAAAAAAAAAAAAAACTTTTTTTTTTGAGACAGAGAGACAGAGCACCAGTAGGGGAGGGGCAGAGAGAGAGGGAGACACAGAATCTGAAACAGACTCCAGGGTTCAAACCCACAAACCTGTGATCATGACCTGAGCTGAAGTTGGACGCTTACTTAACCAACTGAGCCACCCAGGCACCCCTGTCATTTTCTTTTTAGATTAAATCTCTTGCACATATCCCTGCTTCCTGCCTCTTTCTAATGCATTTACATTGTGTACTTCACTTCTCCAGCTTTAATTTTTTACTTTTATTTCACAGATTGTCTGAAATGGGTAGGTAGCCTATAGCTCTAGTTTATCTCCTTAACATGTGAGATTGAGAGAGAGAATTAGCCCCTTGTATATTTTCAACAGATTGTGATGGTTGTACTATCTCATTCCAGAGTTTCAGCATCTATGTGCTGATGATTTTCAAATTTGTATCCCCAATTCAGACATCTCTTCTTACCTTTGGTGTCTTATACAAACTGTGTCTTTAATATTTGGATATGGCATAGGCATCTTAAAATTGCTGTAAAACCTCTCTTCCCTGATATCTTCTCCCAGATGTCTTCTTCATGAATAAATGGTACCACCATCATCTGTGTTTCTTAAGCAAAAATTTCAGGAGTTATTCTTCATCCTTCACTCTTCACATTTGGTTATTGCTCTCATCTAATATGTCACTGATTTCTGTCAAATTTACTTTTTCTGTGTTTCAAATTTGTCTGTCTCAACTACCACAACTCATTTGTTTATGTAAATTATCATTTCTCTATACCAGTGCATCATGAAGTGTTAGTCCATGACTTATTTCTGGTTCCCAACAAGATACATATAGAAATTGATAGTAAGATACTGTCGCAACATCCAAGTGCATGATCATTTTCTAGCAATTCATTGTTACTGCATTTTATTCACTTGACCTTGGATTGGAAATTTAAAAAACAAAAAAATCCCCTTACACCAAATTTAAGTAACACTATTGTGGACTGTTGTTACTAGTCCTGACTGAGCTTCCTGCTTTCATACTTATCCCCTTTTTACCTTTTATCTAAATCTATTGTTTTCTTTTACAGAAGATGTGACATGAATATCAAACTGTGTCACTTTCTGCCTTAAAAGTTATGGAGTTCTCCAGTGGCACTTAAATACAAACCTAACATTGCCTAGAGAGCCCTGTGTAAATTCGTTCCTGCATAGATTTTTAACCTCATCTCCTGCCATTCTTTCTTTTGTCCCTATAGTGTGCACATGTGCAGTTCCCTACGCACAGCAGTTTCTCCCTGTCTTTGGCATTTGCTTACACTCCTGCCTCTCTGGACTATTTGGCCACTTGTTCTTTGCAAGTTGGCTCCTTTTCATCCTTGAAATCTCAGTTTAAATGCCACTTCCTTTGAGAGGCTTTCTGTAAGCATTCTATCCAAAGGACACTTTTCTGTCAGGGTATGTTCCTTTTGCTCTTTAATATACATGTTCACATTTGTTTATATGTGTTTGTGTGCTTGCTTGTTCATGCTCTGGCTCCCCTACTTTACTGGAGAGTCTTTGAAGGCAGGGATTATTTCTGTTTTACTTATAGTAATAAGAGTGCTTTGTACATAAGGCTCTGAATATTTAGGTGAAGACTTTAATTGTATTGAAATCAAACATAACAATAATAATTACTCTCAGCTTGTAAATTTTCAGTCATGGCTGAAAATGTGGTAGTGTTAGTGGTACCAGGAGCAATAGCCTTTAGCATCTGCTGTAGCCACAGGGTTTACTAAATATTGAATATGTGCCAAGACCTGATTAAGGAGTTAATGTGCATTGTTGTTTTTAAGATTCTCACAGCAGTTTCAGGATATAGAAACTATTATTATTGTTTTATAGTTGAGGACAACCAAGACTGAGTAGTCTATCAATTCAACTTGCTAGGGTAATTTGCCCAGGAAGTGGCAAAATGGGGATAGGAATTGAGATCATCTGAGTACAGATTCTTGCTCTTAGTCACTTTGCCATATGGACTGGTGTTACTCTGCCCTTTCCTTCCTCTCTAACTTTAGATCATGTTTATCATAGGGATGCCTGGGTGGCTCAGTTGGTTAAATGTCTGATATCCACTCAGGTCATCATCTCACCTTTGATGAGTTTGAGCCCTGCATCGGGCTCAGTGGCTGGCAGTGCAGAACTTGCATGGGATTATAGCTTACTCGTCTCTCTCTGCCTTTCTCCTACTTGTGCTCACTCTCTCTCTCTCTCTCTCTCTTAAAAAATTGATTTTATCATAGTGTTTTTGTCACAGTGTCTGTACCTTGGTCCGTCCTTTACTAGGAAACCTGTTTATATTTTTTTGTAATTTATTTATTTTTTAATTAAATCTTTAAACTTTATTTTTAATATGTGAGCTTTTATATTTTGTCTTTTTCTTGCATCAGGTCTTCTCAGCCTTCATTTTAGTGAATCTTTTCCTAAATTCAGGAGTCCATCATGGGCTTCTTTACCAAACCAGTGTTGTTTTAGTCAAAGATTTCTTTTTTGTTGTCCCCCACTTAGTCACTCTTCTAGCAAGTCTTGTCTCGTGTTTGTCCATGGATCTATCCATCCTGTCATTCCTTTATCTCTTTAACAAATACCAAATATTTACTGAGACTGTATTATATTCCAAATGATGCTATCTAGCTAATCAAGTATATCCATGAATCCTATTTCTAAAAATGATTTAAGAAAGTTTTAGTTTTTTTCCTTTTTCTCAGCAAGAAGAAAGAGATGACACTATTATAAATATGTATGTGTGTGGACTTGTATTTATATATATATATCTTTCTCTGCTGTATGTGACTGGAAGAGTCATATTACTGGATTCCATAAAATTTTACACAATAAATAGCTATTATAAAGTATTAGGTTAAAATGTAGAATTTTACTGCTTTTAAAATAGAACATATGCCAAAAATACATGTATCTGTTTACAAATGGTAGTCTGTTTTTAACAACTGATGTTGAGTTAGAATTTTAAATCTTCTAAATTTTTATTTATTTTTGTGATTTTAAAAAATGGAAATTCTAACACAGTACATCACACATAGAAAGCAGTATGTTTTTATTGGATATATAAATACTGAAAATTGAATGTATAGCATTTTCAAATTCTAAAATATATTAATCTTGAGCTAGGCTGATACTACTGTTATTATACCAACAAATATGTATGTGCATTATAAAGTCTATTACATATACAAATAATGAAAAGATGAATATTTGTGTTTTTATAACACATTCATAATTATTAAAGATATGGGCAGTTTGAAATAATACAGGCCTTCACATGACTCGTTGCCTATAATGTTTTCTTCTAATAAACAAAAACCAAATATAACAAAAATGGTAAGAAATATTTTAGGTCTTAGCTCCCAATAACACCTTTTTTCTTCCCAAATGTTTAAGCACATTTCTGCCTCCCAGTCCTTCCACCAGTGTTACATGTTCTCGTAATATTCTGGTTTTGTGTTTATACATTGGTTATCAGTTAATAAAACTATTTGCTTCCTTTTCTAGACTTTAACATCCATTAATGTAGATACTCAGTGTCCAGCAATGTAGTATATCCACTTTCATATAACCAGTCATGTGTAAATACAGCTAAGTTTTAGGCCATATTTGTATTTTTACTTTATTAACTTATTTTATTTGTATTTGTATTTTGAAAATAAAAATAAAAAATAACACTCAGTTTTTCCCCTCTTTTAACAGTTTCTCAAGCAAGACCTCCACCAAATCAGAAGAAAGGTGAGGTTGTACATATTGATTCTAAGTTTATTTTAAAAAATAAAAGTAAGCTAGATTACAGAATCAAGGCTGATACTATGTTTGTGCAGTTATACCAGATGTTTGTGCTTGGTATTGATTCTGACTAGTCATTGCTCAGGTCATACTCATTACCAAATATTTTGAATATCACTGCTGACTTAAATTTTATTTTTTTAGCTCCAAGTAGTTAAGATTATAAATTTACAGACCTTAAAGTTTCAATTGGGAAAGTAGATTTCTTTTAATAATAACAGCATATTTTGTAGCTTTAAAATTTTATCTTTACAGGATCTCGAACACCTATTATCATAATTCCTGCAGCTACCACCTCTTTAATAACCATGCTTAATGCAAAGGACCTTCTACAGGACTTGAAGTGAGTCATTTGTTAAAGTGTTGTTTCCTTAAGATCTGGAGATAATATTGAGAATTGGTAGTTAAGAATTTGGTATTCCTTATTTGGAGAAAACAGAATTTCAGTTTCTATGCTATAGGCTTTATAGATTGTCTGAAATATAATTTTCAAAACAAAGTACAGTTGACTCTTGACAATCCAGGAGTTGCTTTGAGGTGCCAAACCCCACACAGTTGAAAATTTATGTATTATTCTTGACTCCTGCAAAAACTTAACTACTAGTAACCTAATGTTGACTGGATGTCTTACTGGTTATATAATTAATATAGAACATAACAGTCAAATAACATATATTTTGTATTTTATATGTGTTATATACTGTATCCTTATAATAACGTAAGCTAGAGAAGAAATTTCATTAGAAGTATCATAAAGAAGAGAAAATATATATACAGTACTGTATTGTATTTATGGGGAAAAAAATCCATGGATAAGTGGACCCATGCAGTTTAAACCAGTGTGGTTCAGAGGTCCGCTGTGTATTCTTTTCACTGGATCCTTTAGGGAAAATTCTTTGGCTGAAGTTCTAATGAAAAGGATACTATTACAATAAATTTTAATATGAATTGTTTTTCTTTTGACTTTTCCCTGAGGAGCTTGAGGAAGTTCTAAAACAAATTCAGGTTCTCTCCCTCTTCCTTTTTCACATTCAAGTTGAAGAATGGGAAAAGTGATATTAACTTCTGTATATATTAGATATATGCCTTGTGAGGTGGATGAGGTTGGGAACATATTTTTTAAACCTAGACATTAGTAAAAGTTAGTTGAAATTAAAATGAACCCTACATCCTGTGTTAAAATTTCCAGGTACTTAGTTTTCTGAGGAAGTTTTTCAGAGTATAATTGACATTTATTAGTTCCAGGGGTATAGTGTAAAGACTTAATGTTGCAAAATGATCGCCACAGAAGTCTAGTTAACATCCATCACCGTACATTGTTATAAAATTTTTTTTCTTTTTTTTTAACTTAATTTTAAGTCCACCTTAGTTAAAATATAGTGTAATAATGGTTTCAGGAGTAGAATTTAGTGATTCATCACTTACATATAACACCCAGTGCTCATCCCAGCAAGTGCCCTCCTTAAAGCCCACCATCCATTTAGCCCATCCCCCCCATCCGATACCCTGCCATCAACCTCAGTTTGTTCTCTGTGTTTAAGTGTCTCTTATGGTTTGCCTCCCTCTCTCTTTTTATCTTATTTTTCCTTCCCTTCCTTTATGTTCATCTCTTTTGTATCTTAAATTGTACATATGAATGAAATCATGTTATTTATCTTTCTCTAATTTATTATGCTTAGCATAATGCACTTTAGTTCCATCCATATTGTTGTAAATAGCAAGATCGCATTTTTTTAGATTGCTAAGTAATATTCCAATGTGGTGTGTATATATCTTTATCCATTCATCAGTTGATGGACATTAGTGCTCTTTCCATACGTTGGCTGTTGTTGATAGTGCTGCTGTAAACATTGGGGTGCATATGCCACTTTGAATCAGTACTCCTGTATCCTTGGATAAATACCTAGTAATGTAGTTGCTGGGTTGTAGGGTAGTTCTATTTTTAGGGCCTCCATACTGTTTTCTAGAGTGGCTGCACCAGTTTGCATTCTCTCCAGCAGTGCAAAACAGTTCCCCTTTCTCCGCATCCTTGCCAACATCTGTTGTTGCCCGAATTGTTCATTTTAGCCATTCTGACAGGTGTGAGGTGGTATCTCATTGTGGTTTTGATCTGTCTTTCCCTGATGATGAGTGGTGTTGAGCATTTTTTTACGTGTCTGTTAGCCATCTGGATGTCTTCCCTGGAAGAGTCATGTCTTTTGTGCACATCTTCACTGGATTATTTGTTTTTGGGTATTGAGCTTATTAAGTTCTTTATAGATATTGGATACTAACCCTTTATCTGTCATTTGCAAATATCTTCTCCCATTCCATTGGGCCTTTTAGTTTTGCTGATTGTTTCCTTCGATGTGGAGAAGATTTTATCTTGATGAGCTCTCAGTAGTTCATTTTTGCTTTTGTTTCCCTTGCCTCTGGAGACTTGTCAGGTAAGAAGTTGCTGCAACCAAGTCAAAGAGGTCACTACCTTTTTTCTCATCTAGGATTTTGATGGCTTCCTGTCTTACATTTAGGTCTTTTATCCATTTTGAGTTTATTTTTGTGTATGGTGTAAGAAAGTGGTCCAGGTTCATTCTTCTGCATATTGCTTTCCAGAACTATTTGCTGATGTCTTTTTTTCCTTTGGATGCTCTGTCAGAAATTGGTTGGCCATACTTTTGTGGGTTCATTCCTGGGTCCTCTATTTTGTTCCATTGATCTTTGTGTCTGTTCTTATGCCAGTACCATACTGTCTTGATGATTACAGCATTGTAACATAGCTTGAAATCTGGAATTGTGATCCCTCCCACTTTGTTTGTTTTTCAGGATTGCTTCGGCCATTTGGGGTCTTTCCTGGTTCCATACAGATTTTAGGATTGTTTATTCTAGCTCTGTGAAGAATACTGGTGTTACTTCGTTGAGGATTGCATTGAATATGTAGATTGCTTTGGGTAGTATCAGCATTTGAACAATATTTAAAAAAAAATTTTTTTTAATGTTTTATTTATTTCTGAGAGAGAGACAGCATGAGCAGGGGAGAATCAGAGAGAGAGGGAGACAAAGAATCCAAAACAGGCTCCAGGCTCTGAGCTAGTTGTCAGCACAGAGCCCAACATGGGGCTCAAACCCATGAACCGTGAGATCATGACCTGATGCCTAACGTACTGAGCCACCCAGACACCCCAGAACAGTATTTTTTCTTTCAGTCTATAAGCATGGAATGTTTTTCCATTTCTTTGTGTCTTCAATTTCTTTCATAAGCTTTCTGTAGTTTTCAGTGTATATATAGATTGTTCACCTCTTTGGTTAAGTTTATTCCTTGGTTTTGGTGCAGTTGTAAAAGGCATTCATTCCTTGCTTTCTCCCTCTGCTGCTTCATTATTGATGTATAGAAATGGAACCGTTTTGTGCATTTACTTTATATCCTGCAACTTTGCTGAATTTCATGTGTTATCAGTTCTTTAATAGAGTTTAGCAGTTTTTTAGTGGAGGCTTTGATTTTTCCACATAGAGTATCATGTTGTCTGCGAAGAATGAAAGTTTGACTTTCTTCTTGCCAACTTGGATGCCCTTTATTTCTTTGTGTTGTCTGACTGCTGAGGCTAGGACTTCTGACACTATGTTGAATAACAGTAGTGAGAGTTGACATCCTTGTCATGTTCCTCACCTTAGGGGGATAGCTTTTGTTTTTTCCCATTGAGGATGATGTTAGTGGTGGGTCTTTCATATATGGCCTTTATGATTTTGAGGTATGACCCTTCTATCCCTACTTTCTTGAGTTTTTATCAAGAGAGGATGCTATATTTTGTCAAATGCGTTTTCTGCGTCTGTTGAGAGGATCATGTGGCTCTTATCCTTTATTAATGTGATGTATCACATTGGTTGATTGATTTGTGGATAATGAATCAGCCTTGCGTCTCAGGAATAAATCCCATTTGATTGTGGTGAATAATTCTTTTAATGTATTGTTGGATCTGGTTTGCTAGGATCTTGTTGAGAATTTTTGCATCCATGTTTATTAGGGAAATTGGTGTGTATTTCTCCTGTTAAGTGCTGTCTTTTTCTGGTTTTAGAGTCAAACCTCATAGAATGAGTTTGAAAGTTTTCCTTCCATTTCTGTTTTTTGGAACAGCTTCAAAAGAATAGGTGTTAACTCTTTAAAATGTTTGGTAGAATTTCCCTGGAAAGCCATCCAGCCCTGGACTTTTGTCTGTTGGGAGATTTTTGATTACTGATTCGGTTGCTTTACTGTTCATGGTGTGTTTAAATTTTCTATTTCTTCCTGTTTTAATTTTGTTAGTTTATATGTTTCTAGGAATGTGTCCATTTCTTCCAGATTGCCCAATTTGTTGGTATATAATTGCTGATAATATTCTCTTATGATTTTATTTCTGTGGTGTTTGTGATCTCTTCTCTTTCATTTGTGATTTTATTTGGGTCCTTTTTCCCCTTTTTGATCAATCTGGATAGGTGTTTATCGATTTTGTTCATTCTTTCAAAGAATAGTTCCTCGTTTCATTGTTCAGTTCTACTGTGTTTTTGTTTGTTTGTTTTTAATTTTAATATCATTGATTTCTGCTCTGATCCTTATTATTTAACTTTTTCTGCTGATTCTGGGTTTTATTTGCTCTTCTTTTTCCAGCTCTTTTTTTTTTTTT